GAGAGAGAGCTGGATGTGAAGAGCCTGTGGTCAGGAACAAGAGATGACTCACCAGCCACCTGGTGAACAAATAACTGAAGACCAGATGGCAAGGTGGACACCTCAGGGGAGGCCAGCATGGATGACGAGTGATCCTGAGGACCAGATGTCTCCTTTCAATACCTGGTACTGCCTAAGCCTCCAAAATGTTAGTGCAACCCTAGGGAAAGGGGATGGAGGGAGCAATTTAATTGAAATCAAATTTTTACAACTGTAGAGGAATGGTAGCTTAAAAAGAAAAAAGGAAAACAAGAATTATATTTCTGACAAACCTAAATATGTGGAATGAAATTGATACCTATGACATGTGATCCAAGAAATAGGAGGTTCTGTTAACCTTAAAGGAAAGGAAAAAGGATATTAACTAGTATTGTGATTTCAGGAACAATGAAAAGGCTCCCTTCCCTCATTTTCTCCCTCACCTCTGTGCTGGTGTATGAATGTCCATCATTGTAACTTTTTTTTTCTTCTTTAAGATTTTCCTCTTACAATACACATGCTATTGAGGGACGTTAACCTTATTCGTCACTTATTCCTTGATGTCAGTCAGTTGATCCTGTGCTGTCCTGACAGCAGGGTGCAATGCAAGCAAGGAATGTTTCCCATGTAAGAGAAGGAGGGAGAAAGAGGACAAGGCATGGAGAGAAAGGAAGGGTGTGAGAGGGCAGGAGAGAATGAACGAATCCAAGGACAAACGTGCAAATAAAAGAGGAAAGTGGTGCCTCCGCACGCAAACTTTGCTACCTTGTAATTTTTAATAGGAGCAGCCATAACGGTAGAACTAACTCTGTGTTACTAAAAACTGCCCTGCTTCTCCTCAAGGTGACTGCCCTTCCCAGGGAGGGACAGGGCTTTATGTGACTCCTCTCAAAGTGCTGTGTGCACTACAGTGGCAGATGCTAACCACAGTGCCCCTGTCTCGTCACCAGACCTCTCCCCTCTGCAGCAAATCCCCTCTGAATCTCAAAGAGCCTCACCAACAGTAATGAATTCATTAAGCCCAACAGTACACCTGCAAGGCAGGTGCCGATTAAATCAATTAAGCACTGATAAACATTATTTCAGTATAGAGACAGTGCTCCTAACAGGCAAAAATATGATTCAGAAAAGTCCCAGGGCTGGTGAAAGAATGGCTTTCTCTTGAGGAGTTAAATCAGCTTCTGTGATGAGCCGTGGCAGA